ATTCGGTCCATCAAATCTGCTCCATCATTTGATCCATGGCTGATGTGTTTCTCAAAACCAATCTCCTGCCTCCTCCCCATAACCCTTGAGCCCCTTACTAATCAAGAACCTATCTATCTCTGTCTTGAACACACTCAATGACTTGGCCTCCACAGCCTTTTGCGGCAACGAGTTCCACAGATTCACCACCCTCTGGTTGAAGAAAGTCCTTATCTCAGTTCTAAAGGGTCATCCCTTCACTCTGAGGCTTTGCCCTCAGGTTCTAGTCTCTGCTGCTAGTTGAAACATCTTATCCCTGTCCTCTCAGTATTATGTAGTCGCAATGAGATCACCCTGAATCCTTCTAACTTCCATCGAGTACAGACCCAGAGCACTCAGCCACTTCTCATATGACAAGCTCTTCATACATGAAATAAATCTTGTAAATCTCCTCCGGAGCACATCCTACCTTACTGGGCCCTAAATTGGCCACAATATATATGTGTGACTACTTGATCGCTCATGAATGCTCATTTCTCTGGACCAAAGTTTCATGCAACCTAGTGTCTTCCACGGGATGGCACATTTATTCAGGTATGGGTTATGTCTGTGGCTGTCCACTCCATTCAGAGTCATATTGCATTTTTGAACAGGGTAGCCCTTGTCTCTGAAAAGCCATCTGTGTATAGCATTTGGCCCTTGGAATTAGATAGAGTCTTGTGAGTAATTAAGAATATAGGCATCATGGCAGCTTCTGGGATATCTGGCACAAATCTCCAAAATGTGGCAATGATGATCACAGATGATCGCAGCACATTGAAATCATATTTTGTTGATACAATGTATTTACAGTCTATAACACCCTGCACCTTGGGGAAGCTAATGATGTTGCAAAATCTCACTGTCCAGCTTGTAGCACTGACCTTGATATGGGAGAAATTTATATACGTAGCATCCTTGATATATTTATAAATTAAAGATTGAGTGATTCCCTACAGGTCTCCAAAGAAAACAATCTCATAAAAATCAACCAGTGCTGTTTCCTTGACAGCCACCAGGATGGGATGACTACCCACTCCTTCAGAGCTCAACAGAGGAAACAGTTTCATTATGGTGTCCCAGGACATCCTCAATCTGTGCCATCACTGAGTTTCAGTCACCTGGAGGAAATGAGAGCAAGATTGGCAAATTCTGGCACTCTTTATCCTTCTCTATATCCTGAGGGGACCTTTTTCTGTGAACCTCAGGAATGCAATTGAGTAGAAGTGGAGGTATTCAGGTTTTATCCTACTGAAATCACTCATCTCTTGGAATGCATGTATTGTGGTTGCTACTTACCATTTGTCAGACTCCTGGATGTTATCTGCATTCCACTGTATTATGTGAAGTGAGTAGAATTGTTCACTAGAATCATCACCAAACAGTCCCTTTCCTGGTCTTATGATGGAGGGAATATTATCTGTAAAAGAACGGAAGAAGATTAGACTAAGTCCAATTCCTAAATGTAAATATCTTCAAGCTGCAACAGCTGTTTTCTAAAAAGTGCAGCCATTTTCCAATGCAGAGGATATGGTTCCACTTTTTCAATTGACCTCAGCTTTCCTGGAGCTCCTTTGTGACTTTGTTTTGGAGAGCTGTGTTGACATTGAGGGTGGCAACTTTATCTTCTCTCTCCCAGGAGACCATATGGTTACTATGATGGTAAACAATATATGGAGTTTTGGGACCACCATGTCTGGTTGCAAAAAATTTAATGGGTCTCATCGTCCCTGTTGTTATTTTCATCTCTTCGTAATGTCACTCAGGAGCTGAGCTGTTAAGCTCAGTCAGTCACATGAACAAGTGATTTCAGTGTGCTTTGGACTAACATCTTGTAATATGTGACCCAGCTAAATTTAATTATAATTAAAATACTTAGACAAGGTAGGAGTGTTTATGGCCAACAAATATCAAATCTGATGATACAAAATGACAGTCACCACTGAACGGAGTAGTGTGTTTTATTTTAAAATGCAAGTATTTCATTTCAGACTTGTACATAATGTAAGATGCAATGTGTAGTGTCCCTGCAAAGGGTGAACTTGTGATGCAGTGGGTAATGTTCTTGTCTCTGAACCAGAAGCTTCAGGTTTGCATCTCAACTCAGGATCTAATGGCCATGGAAGATGTGTTCGTAATACAGGCAAGAGATTGATTATCAACCTGCAAATCCTTCCGAAGCACACTCAGTGGCAGGCAGCAAGAGTGGAAGAGATTCCTGGTCAGCTGAGTGATAAGAAGAAATTGGAGCCACTACCATCACTCTCCATAGCTCCATGCCGCAACACATATGCAAAACTATATATTTCTTTATTCACTTGTGGGACACAGGTGCTGCTGGCTGACCACCATTTATTGCCCATCCCTAGGTGCCCTTGAGAAGGTGGTGGTGAGCTGCCTACTTGGAACTACTATAGTCTATGTGCTGTAGGGAAATAATTCCTGGATTTTGACCCAGTGACACTGAAGAAGTGGTGATGGCAAATGGAGTATAATATGGGAAAACGTGAAATTGTTCATTTTGGAAGGGAGAACAAAAGAACAGTTTATTATTTAAATAGACAAAAACTGCGGAAAGCTGCAACACAAAGGAACTTGGGGATACTTGTGCACGAAACAGAAAACTAGCACACAGTACAGCAGGTAATTAGGAAGGCTAGCGGAATATTGACCTTTATTTCAAGGGAGTTGAAGTATAAGAGTAGGGAAGTTTGACTGCAACTGTACAAGGTGTTGGTGAGACCACATCTGGGTTACTGTGAGCAGTTTTGGTCTCCTCATTTACAGATAAGGTTCACTAGGATGCTCCCTGGTATGAGCAAAGGCTAAACAGGTTGGGATTCTACTCACTACAGTACAGAAGAATCAGAGGTGATCTCATTGATACATACAAAATTCTTAAAGGGTTGACAGGGTAAATGCTGAGAGAATGCCTCCCCTCCTGGGAGGGTAAGACTGAGAAAGATGAATTCTTGATCAAAGATTATGGGGAAAGTGCAGAAAAGTGGATGTGAGAAATGTTAGATCAGCCATGATACCATTAGATGGCTGAACATGCACAAGGGACTGAATAGCCTACTCCAGTTCCTATTTCTTATGGTTTTACGGTCTAGCAGAGTGGATGTGCATCAGTTATACGGAGAGATTTGGAGTTGTTTTCCTTAGAACAGCAAAGATTAAGAGGTGGCATAATCAGGATGTGTATACAGTAACCAAGGACAAACAATTTCCAGTGGTAAAGAGCCAGTAACCACAGTTTGAAAGTATTTGGCAAACCAATTAAGGCAAGATGAGGAGATTGTGTTTTTAAGAAGAAGGACAGTCACGGAGTTTAGAAAGGACATCAATAAACTCAAGGACAGTGATGAGAAAGATGAGTTCAGAAAGAGAGCAGTCAGAGGGTTTTATTTAGAGATGTATTTGTTTGTAGTATGATTGGCTAGGCCAGCATGTATTGTCTATCCCTAATTGCCCTGAAGAAGATGGGCTTGAGCTGCCTTCTTGAGCTGTTACAGTCATGGGGGAGGCGGACAGCATGCATATTCGCAAGAGATAACACAGTGTGGAGCTGGAGAAACACAGCAGGCCAGGCAGCATCAGAAGAGTAGGAAAGTTGATGGTTTCGAGTCGGGACTCTTCTACGGAAGACTCTTCTTTCTCAAGAAGGGTCCCGACCCGAAACGGCAACTTTCCTGCTCCTCTGATGCTGCCTGACCTGCTGTGTTCCTCCAGCTCCACACTGTGCTATCTCTGACTCCATCATCGGCAGTTCTTACTTTCTCTGATGTATATTCGCAATGTTGTTGGGAAAAGAATTCTAGGGTTTTAACTAAATAACATTGATTGATCCCATAGTTTTATGTACTGTTTTCATTTTAGGTACAAAATTCTGACTGCCTAATACAAGTCTCGTGTGAGCCAGTGCATGTATTTTGCATTAAGCTCACAATCATTGTTTGATTTGCTTAGGGCACTTTTAGTGTAGTGTCCCTATCTCTGAAGTTCAAGTCCACCTGCTCAGGAGGTGTGTAACAATAGGGCAGCACGGTTCTCACAGCGCCAGGGACCCGGGTTCAATCCCACCCTTGCATGACTGTCGGTGTGGAGTTTGCTCATTCTCCCGGTGCTCCGGTTTCTTCCCACAGTCCAAAGATGTGCAGGCTAGGTGGATTGGCCATGCTAAATTGCGAATAGTGTTCAAGGATGTGTAGGTTAGGTGACTTAGCCATGGAAAGGGTAGGGGGATGGGGATGGGTCACGATGCCCTTCGGAGGGTTGCTGTGGACTTGTTGGGCCGAATGGCCTGTTTCCGCTCTGTAGTCATTCTATGAGGTTCTATTCTATATCTGAACAAGTTGATTAGGAAATATCGTGCTAATGTGTGGCCAAATTTCGCCTCAGAAAATGGAGGAGTGGAGGAGGTAGTTTGCGCTTCAAGCCAGATTCAGCAGATCTCAGCGGCCGCTGTAGACTCAACCTCAGTGCCGCCGCCGCCAGGGGTCAGGTAGAGAGCTATAATTGTGCAATGCAACTATATTTGGATAATAAAACATCTTTTGACGCGGTGACTTGAGAGGAAAGGATAAGAGACATCGTTTGTGTTTAAAATGCTATTAGCACTAGTGGAAACTGCAGTAAGATGCACTGAAATCTGAGGAGCAGTTTGGGGAAACGATATTTTTGAACCATACTATTTATGCTTCTCCCTATCAATCTGTTTAAAACCGCCACGTTTCATACTGCTGCGTTTGAAAACTGCACTCTGTAACTGTAAAGGAATAAGACACAGATCGTCTTTGTCCCAGAACGAGTTTTTAACATGCCTCCAAACCACAAACTTGTTTTCCAGCCACGTCTTTATTTTCATTTCGTCAACTCAATGTTTCTGACAAAGATTGAATCTGTAGTTTTGAACGTTCCGAACACCCCCAATTGAAGTGGGGCTGGACGCGCGCGCACACACACACACGCACAAAGTGAGTCAGTGTTTAGTCTGGGACATTCCTGAAATCCCTGCAACTTGTTGATGGTTCCTGCCTGGAGCAGACCGTTGGTCTGAGGCTGTGAGTTTAGTGCTCGGTTTTCAGGCTCCCACTGCCAGATATGGGTTCACTATTTCGGCTGGTGTTCCTCGCCTGGCTGATGCTGCCTTTATTGGGCGCAGAATCAGGCAGGAAACGAGCTGCTCGTCAACGCGAAGTGGAGTTAATGGAACGGGTAACAGTAGTCTTTTAATTAATTTTCTTATTCTCTCGAGAAAAATGTCCCGTATTTTTAGGGAACTGGGGATAGCTAAGTCCGGAGAGGGGAGAACAGTCATTTGTTGATAAAGGCTGAGCGTATAACTCCGATGCGACCCGAAACCCGGTGCCCCTGTCGAACACTGTAACTGCTCATTGAGATCAAAGCACATTTAAAGGAGGGGAATGTGTCCCATCCCATTGCCTGGGAAGAGAAGCGGTAAAGGAGGATCCAGCTTTGGTCACCAATGAGATGTTTTATAAAATATAGCCACTTTATTTCGCTTGGAACTGGATCTAAAGAGTACGAAATAAGTCGGTGAAGCTAAATTATCCTTTTTAATTAAGGCTGTTAATTTTGCAAAAGTTTTCTTCATAGAATCTTATTACATATGAAACCTACCGTTAGTTTTACACAGTGTTAATTTATTATTCAGTCATGGGGTGTGGCTGGCTGAGCCACATTCCTAGGTGCCATTGAAGGTGGTGGTGAGCTGCTTTCTTGAGCCATTGCAATGTAAGTGCTGTAGATAGACACACAATGCCCTCAGGGAAGGAGTACCAGGATTTTGAGGCAGTAACTGTGAAGGAATGGTAGTATATTTCCAAGTCAGGATAATGAGCGGCTTGGAGGGGAACTTGGGAGGTGGTGGTATTTCCATGTATCTGCTGCCTTTGACCTTCTAGATAGTAGTGAAAATTGGTTTGGAAGGTTCCAAGGAGCCTTGATGAGCCTGCAGTGCAACTTGTAGATACACACTGAACAACGGTGGTAAGTGAATGTTTGTGGATTTTATACTAATCAGATGGGCTGCTTTGTCCTGGCTGGTGTTCAGCTTCTCGAGTTTGATTGGAGGGAGTATTACATCACATTCCCGACTTCTGCCTTGTAGATGGTAGACAGGCTTTGTGGACTTGGGACATGAGCTTGTCAGTTTTCTGATCCTTTGACCTGTTCTTCTGGCCATAGTATGGCTAGTATAGTTCAGTTTCTAGTCAATGGTAGCCTCCAGGATGTTGATGGTGGGAAATCCAGCGATGGTAATGCCATTGAGTGTCAAAGTGTGATTGGTTTGATTCTGTCTTAGTGGAGATGGTCATTGTTTTGCATTTGCATGCTGTCAGTGTTAATTGTTGTCACTTGTCAAACCAGGCCTGGATATTGTCCACATCTCACTGCATTTGGGCCTGGCCTACTTCAGTAACTGAAGTCACTAATAGTGCTGAACGTTCAGTGTTGCCAACCTTCCAGGATTGGCCTGGAGTCACCAGGAATTAAAGATCAATCCGTAGGATACTACTATGTGCAACCCGAGAGACAAAATACAGGCACATTAAAACAGTTTGTGTTTTTTTTTTGTTTTTGTAATTTTGTTTGAACATTTCATTATCTGATTTCAGAATTTTGAAAATAGGGAGAGGCCTGTTAGTCTGTTTACTTTCCAATTGGGAAGCCATTGTGTTAACAAGTTTAGAAGGATGGTGTGGGTAAAAGGCATTCAAGTCTGTGATCAGCCATGATCGTACTGAAGGTCACAACAGGCCTCATGGGCTGAATGGCCTACTCCTCTTACAAAGTACTAGGATGGATGTGTTGGTTGACCAATCACTGGAGGTGTAAGGGGTGCAAGTCATGTGATGATGCTTCCTGGCATAGGTTTTATAATAGTTGGCAACCCTAGTTACATTAGAAATATTCCTTTGGAATGACTGGGAGTTTACCACCAAAATTGGGAAATATATTTAATTTGGATTGTTTATATAGTGTTATAATTAGGGCTGAGATTTAAAAAAGGAATAATCTACATGTTTCCCTATGAAAGCATTTTGTCTCTGGCATGACATGTTATAGGAGCAAAAAAGAGCATTAACCTAACTTCAGTATTACATAAACTATAACAAAAAAAAATTGAAAACCTTTGTACATCTTTCCAAAGTTGCAAAATTAAATTTCTGATGAACCTTTACATTTTTGTAAAACTAATGCAGATTGGAATCAGCTCATCAAAACTGTGCCATTGAAAATTCAAGGAAATAGTTCCAAATTCCTTTGAAGCACGTGGAAATTAACTCTCAATTATTGCTTGAGCAAACCGAGTTTAATAATTTGTATTAGACATGTATGCAGTGCAAATAACTGAGGGAGGAGCTGACTGTGTTTCCAAGGAAGGGCAGTGAGAGGCAGTCAGACATTGCAAAGCCCTGAGGGATGTACAAACAGCAGAGCATTCTCAGAATTTCTGATATAGTGGTGTTAACAGCAAGTGCAGATGAGCATTTTTGAGGATAAGGTGGATAAGTAGGAAACAAATCTTTATTTAACTAAAGTGGCTTTCAATGGGAGAACCTAGTGATAAAGGAGTATAAGGTGTATAGTCAGTAGCTGGTGAAATGTAATTGTCCTTTTCAGGAACATGTCATACATTTATTTCTGGTAAGTTATCTAATAAATAGACACACAAAAGGATACCACGGTGTTGTGCAGTGCTCATCCTGTGCCATGTAGAAACTTCCAGACCGTTCTTGTGCCCTTTCTCCTTAAATCGGTCCTAATTAATTGACTTCTTATCCTGAGACTTTGCCTCTATTTAGATTCTCCAATAAATGAAAACAGTATATGTGTTTCCTATATGAAACCCTTTCAAAATCCCGTATCTGTCTCTGTAGCATCACTTCTCATTTTTCCAAACTCCAAAGAAAATTGGTCTAATTTTTCTCATTAGAAAAATGAATAACCTCAAATCTCCCCTACATTATACTTGTGTCATCTTATTGTTTTGCTGTCTATATCTCTTTTCAGCCACTCTGTATCCTCCCCACAGTTTACATTTTCACTTAGCTTTCTACCAACAGCAAGCATAAAATACATTACTCTCTGTCTTCTCATCTAATTCATTAGTATAGATTATATTATATTATATTAGATTATAATATAGAATATAGATTGTAAATAGCTGAGGTCCCAGCATTGATCCTTCTGGCACTTGTTGCTCACTGTCTGTCAAATTGAAAGTGCCCTTGTCTATGCCCACTCTCTTCTTCTATCTGTTAGCCAGTCCTTTATTCATGCTTATTTATTGTATGCAACTCCATGATTAGCGCTTTGTGTAGCACATTATGTAGTATCTTTTGGAAATCCAACTGTGCTGTATTTACTGGTTCCCCTTTATAAACAATTCTAGATATATGTTCAAAAAACTGTAATGAACCTGTCCAGCAGGATTTATCCTTGCTCTACTGGTCCTAAGCTTTATTTGTAGAATCATATAGTGCAGAAGATGCCCTTTAGCCCATTGAGTCTGCATGGACTTGTGAGAAACATATGACCTTCAACCTAATCCCATTTACCAGGACTTGGCCCGTAGCCTTGAATGTTATGATGCGCCAAGTGCTCATCCAGATACTTTTTAAAGGATGTGAGGCAACTCGCCTTGACTGCCCTTCTATGTAGCACATTCCAGACCATCGCCACCATCTGGGTAAGAAAGTTGTTACTCACATCCACCCTAAACCTCCAGCCCCTCACCTTATACCAGTGACCCCTTGTGACTGACCCTTCAACTAAGGGGAACAGCTGCTCCTTATCTACTCTGTCCATGCCCACATAATCTTGTACACCTCAATCAGATCATCCTTCAGTCTTCCCTGCTCCAACAAAAACAACCCAAGCCTATCCAACCTTTCCTCGTAAAATTTCCATCCCAGGCAGCATCCTGGTGAATCTTCTCTGCACTCCTGTAATGTGGCAACTAGAACTGCATACAGTACAGTCTCACCAAAGTTCTATACGATTCCTACACGACAAGTAAATTTCAACAGTGGAAAAAAAGCACTTGCAAAAGCTCTCAAAATTATTGGGCTTAGTTAAACAGCCCAGCTTCGTGCACACACATTTCCTGACGATAAAATCCTTATTGATCTTATTAATATAATCATTACTGAGTCATTGCAGCAAAGGTTAGTTATTTCAGAGACAGAGTGTGAGCATTTAATCACTCCAGTTACTTGGAAACAACATTTGCAATCTCATTGTGCTCAAGGGTTTACTTAACAAATATGAAAAGAAAACACATCTCTGCTTAGCCGCTGGTCACCACAGACAGCTGTGCTTTGCGATAAATTGCTGTTGATTTTTGGTAGACACTCCTCATTGGCTCTCTCTTTGAATCCCTTATGCTGTCTCTTCTCTGTCCTGTGTCTATGACCTAGACATTTCTTAGCTAATCTTTGCCCAGTATATTTAACCTAAATGCCTCTGTGCCCAGTCATTAAAAGCTCATTTCAGACTGGAGTCCATTTCTTATTACTTCTCTAGGTCACTCAGACACCCTTTCTCTTCCTATCTGTCTTTCAATTAAGTCACATTCAGGAATGGGCGTTCTCCAAATCCCATCAAACCTATAGCTAACTCCCTACAAGCCACCTCCGATTCTCCATCTCCTCTCTTGCAAACCTTCCCACTTTGAAGTCCGTATGGAAGTTTCCTTCTTGTTAATTTGTGGGATGTGGGCATCACTAGCTGGGCCAACATTTATTAAACCCATTCCTAGTTACCCTTGAGAAGGTGGTGGTGAGCTGCCTTCCTGAATCATTGCTGTCCACATGCCCCGCAACACCCTTAGGGAAGGAATTCCAGGATTTTTATCCAACAGTAGTACAAGGAACACTGATATATTTTGAGATAGTAGGAACTGCAGATGCTGCAGAATCTGAGATAACAAGGTGTAGAGCTGGATGAACACAGCAGGCCAAGCAGCATCAGAGGAGCAGGAAAGCTGACGTTTCGGGCCTAGACCTTTCTTCAGAAAAA